TCGTTATTGAAAGTTGATCCGCGCTAATGATGTTACTTGTGGTGTTGATGAAAGTACATTACACGTTATTGATACAACTATTGGCACAAATGAATGTACATTTTCTGTTAATGAACAGCAAAAGGTGTATTATTATTATTAAAGATTGTCTCAGTATCGATCTGTGCGTCAGCTATGCCCAGACTTAGATCAGCACAGAGGTTGTTTCAGGATTCGATCTGTGAGTTAGACATGCCCTGACTTAGATCAGCCCAGAGGTTGTTTCAGGGTTCGATCTGTGAATGAGCCATGCCATGATTTAGATCAGCCCAAAGGTTGTTTCAGGGTTTGATCTGTGAGTAATTAGCCATGCCCTGACTTAGATCAGCCTAGAGGTTGTTTCAGGGTTCGATCTGTGAGTTAGCCGTGCCCTGACTTAGATCAGCCCAGAGGTTGTTTCAGGGTTTGATCTGTGAGCTAGACATGCTGTGAATTTGATCAGCCCAGAGGTTGTTTCAGGGTTCAATCTGTGAGTTAGCCATGTCCTGAATTAGATCAGCCCAGAGATTGTTTCAGGATTCGATCTGTGAGTTAGCCGTGCCCTGACTTTGATCAACCTAGAGGCTGTTTCAGGGCATGATAAAATTTAAACAGTTGAGCCCTAACTACACACCAACATATTTTTAAAAATACCAGAATTTCTAAATGACTGACACGAAAATAATTTGATTTATTAGTTTTGGGTATTGTCCTAAAAAAATGGTAAAATCGCAGGTAGTTGTGCTTTTAGAATTGATTCAACCATATAACATAAAACTTTTTTAACATCTAGTTTACTTATTACAAAAAGCGATTGGCAGCTTAATTGCCAAGAGTCACTTTTTTGTCACCGACAATTTAACAGTTAATAGTTCCAAGTTCGTGATATGTACAGACGTCTTTCACACGAACGATTCTTTCAACAGAAAACTATCGGTGCAAAATTAAGTTTCTTTAGTAAAAAGAAAATATGAAAAAAGCCCTGTCCTTTTTGCGTACTTTACGCACAAAATTCTCCGTTGCGCGGAAAAAATGTTTTCTCGCCATTTTTTCCTTCTTCCACTCTTTAACAAAAAAAAAACAAAAAAACAAAACAAAACAAAAGAACGGTAAAGTAAAATTTTCCCCTTTGCACGCGGTTTAAAAATAATAATGTTTTTCTTGGCATTCCACTCTTTCACATTGAAAACTCGGTAGATTAGAAGTCCGGTTTTCTTGTTCTTTATAAAGCACGTAGCAAAAACTTCCGTTGCGCGGTAAAAAAAAAAAAACGTTTTTCTTGCTATTTTATTTTTCTTCCACTCTTTCCATCGAAAACTCGGTAGATTGAAAGCCCTGTTTTTCTTGTACTTTACCGTTGCGCGGTTAAATGGCGACCAATTTATTGTTACTTCCATTCCTGAATAATTATCGAAGAATTTGGATCGGATTTTATCCCGCATTGTGCGGTCCTATACAGCAAGATCTGAGAGCTATAATTTCTTTTTTCTTTTTTTACTTTTCTTTTCTCTTTTTCCTATTTTTTGTTTGACAAGTATTCCTATTGGTTTGGATTTCGTTTATATTCTTAATTTCGCTTTTATCTTCACTTAGTACTACCCGTCATCTCACCTTAACTCCGGTCCTCTCTTCGTCCTTAACTCGACTGGAAATATTCGTACACATCTATATTAGCTTTTACGACACGATGTCTGTTTGGCACTCCATTGAAGACGGCGCCATCCCACTGACACAGAAAAGTAAACTATATGACCAGTTGGAAGAGTTAGTTGAAAGAAAAAAAGGAATAGACGTTGCGCATGCGCATGATTATAATTACACTTAATTAGCGGTGCAAAGTAAGCTCAAGGCTTGGCGGCTCCCCTTATGGCATTCTCGTTCCCAGACTCTACTCATTAGCCCAATCGTATGCGATTTTCGTTATGAGGAGTCTCTGGGTACCAGAATGCCCTTGTTGGGTCACGATAGTCCTGGACTTTCCTGGACCGCTCTTGGCATATTCGGTTTTGAAACCGGTTTGAAATAAATTAAATACATTAAAAATATATGGCATTATTCACCGAATAGAAATATGGCGACCAATTTGAATAACTCGTTGTTCTTGACTGACTATCCCTCTCATACATGTCAGAACGCTTTTTTTCTTTCCATATGAACCCGAGGCAAGTCAGGCCTAGTCTCCCTCCCAACTGTTTTAGTCTCGTTCCATTCCTCTACGGTCCACTTCTCTTGTAGTAGACGGTAGGGGAATGGAAAGAGACCAAAAGGTTGCGAGGGAGACTAAGTGAGGCCAGAACAAAATACATACACACGTATTGAGACATATTTTTGGCCTTTACGGAGTTGCAAAACGCCTTGCATCATGGGACTGTTTGGGGGACGCTTTCATTTTGTCAAAAAATGTCATCACAAGCTATTTTTGATCATGAGAAGGATGCATGCAGGTGCGTGTTTTCGTTGTTCAAGAAAATTTCTTTTACTATCATGACTTCACAGTTTGTTTATATGGGGAAACGAATTTTAAACAACGATATAGGAAATTGAACTAATGTTTTCTGCAGAAGTGATTCCCTGCTAGCAGAGTCTCTCCTCTTTCTCTCCTTTCTTTTGAAACAAAAAGAAAATAGACTCTGCTAGCAGGGAGGCAGAAGTATAGGCCGATCTTTATTTAATTTTTTTCCTCATAAGCATGGTGAAAAATGTTCAAGCTACAAGCAAACCGACCGCAGAAATCGAAAGAGAATGTCTTATTTAGTAACCGAAATTTGAGAGTAATTTGTTCATTATTTTGGGAGTAAATTTTTTTTGAAAACACTATAAATTACAAAGAAATGTATGGTCTTGTGGCAAGTTGCTTGTAGCTTGAAATTGTTTTAGGCTAATGAGGAAAAAACGTAAATAAAGATCGGCCTATTCATAGCTCTGATATATGCAGTCTGGTTTTCAAATGTTATATAAACCGGTGCATATCAAACAATTGTTGTCATTCGCGGGCTTCCTGTGGTGACAAACCACGCTCCCCTCCCCTACACAATTTCCAGTCTTTTTTCGGCCAAAACCAAGATGGCTGATAGTTAGTGATGTTTTCACTCGATTTACTGTAAATTTGAGCAGTTTTGAGCAAGAAATTCGCCTATTTAGTGAAGAAAATTATATTCCAATTTCCTAATATGGTAAGTACATTCCATATATGGTAAAAGAAACAGCTCGAGCGGAACGACAACTTTTCTATGTGGAAAGTTTGATATGTTTATCCTACAATATATCTCCTTATTGTGGCTGTTATTATTGTTAGTTTACTAAAATTCTAAAAATTAAAACTTCAAACGCTGTTGTTGTATTGCTGCTGATTTGTTCCCCCGTCCACGATGTTTTCATGTGACGTCATAATATGCAATATGAGTGAACGTGATATCTCGGCGAAAATATATGTTTGGATTAACGCCGTAGGTGCGTGTTTTCGTGATTCACGCAAATTGTTCAAGGAGGAAAGGTTGGTGGAAATCATTTCAGACTCATATGCCTAAATCTGACTATGTGCGTTCCCACTCAGGCGGAGTTGTTCATGATTACTGGTCGATCTGCTCGATCGAGGGTTCTTCATATACCTTCATAAGGCATCTGGCATTATGCCCACCAGTACATTATATTGCCATAAGGTAGATAAAATCTACACTGATCTAACGTATTATCTTTTTGCAAAACCTTGAAGTATGAGTTTTTATTTGATTCAAGCGGTAGCCATTAGTTTTATTCTCATGAGATCAATAAAAACCTTTGTTTGAACCCACATAAATTTATTCTCAAGCACTTGAATGCGAAGATATCTACGCGTGGGAAATGATACTGTTCCACTGAGCCAACATGGCTGCTGTCCATATAGACGTCAGTGAAGGACCAATGGCCAACAATAAATAAAGATATATATAACGATTTATATGATATACAAAATCTATATATAACTTTCAAAAAATTTTTGAAATAAAAATAGATTACAGTAAGGACATTTAAACTGTGAGCACTTAGATTTTTTGCTCCTTTTTGCCACTGATTATTGGAAACGAAGGTATTTTATTTTATATTATATTTTTTAGCTATTATTTTATTATATTATGATGTCATTCTTGTTATAGTATCCCCATGAGATACACACAAGTTAGGTTTTCTTTAGTTTTTCTTTGAAACTAGCTGAAACAACACTCGATGATTATTAAAAATGTCATATGAAATTTTTTTATACTTCGGTGCAGATGATGCAAGACGCTTTCGAAAGTTTGGGTTACCTGTGGCGAATGCCCCGATTAAAAGCTTATTTATACTTGTAGCATCCCATAGCATTCTATAGCAAAATCAACCCAAATTGCAGTTTTTTCTCATATATATTTTGTGGTTTGCGAGAAAAAACGCGTGGTAGGGACGTCTCTTTTGCCTTGAGTTTTCAGAAATCATTTTCAATACCAACTAGAGCAGGACTAACTTGATTGAAATCGGAAACAACTCTTTAATCTCACTCTTTTTATAGTTCATTAATTTACAATATCCCACATCACAGCCCACTCAAGTTGTTTGCTAGATAGATTCAGTTCACGTTCTACCGTTGCTATAGTTATTTTGTTCAAGAGTGTTGCGCCCCCTTAATTCCGCTGACTGGTTGGCCACCGTTTTCCGTGGCGTCGGGACTCGACGATTTACAAAAGGCAATCTTGCACGGTAGAACACTTGTGCACCAAAAAACGCATATCGTACCCTCTGCAATCTAATATCTCAATACTAATAGCTAAGGACCCGTTCTGGGGATTTAAGGTACTGTTGTGGAAGTCAAGCGGGGCTTTTAAGTGGTGATAAAAATGGACGTGAACGCTGCCGTTCCGAGGACGAACGAAACCGAAGGGCTGTCGGTTGTGTCTTCGTTGTCTGAAGTGAGCCAACAGATCGCAATCGCCGAAGAGATCCCGACTGAACACGAGAACTCTCATCCTTCTGTCTTCTCTTCAAGCGATCAAGTCTCCACTGAAGAAGTCTCAGGACATCAAAGATGCGAGGTTCAGGTTGTAAAAGTGGCGAACATTGGCGGTGGAGTCAACATAACTTTTTCAACGCCAGGTTTAGCGACTCTTGCTCGCGTCGGAGATGAAAATGAAGGAGCTACAACGATTCAAGTGTCGGACGCTCAGTTGACTCCAATACAAGAAGTAGCCATTGATCAAAGCCCTGGAGAAGCTGCTAACTCCGAGACATCGAATCTTCAAGGTGAACAAGTGATTCATGATCTTCAAGATGGTGAAATGCAAGGCAGTCCTTTGCACATGGACTCGGATCAAGATCGAAGCGAAAGACAAAAATCTTCATCTTGGGATGCTGTTATGAATGCAGAGGTTTTGACAGTTCGTTGTAGAAACGAAACAGCAGAGCTACACAAGAGTAAGCTTGGCTCAGGCGGCAGAGGAAAATGCATTAAGGTAAAGCAAATATTTTATTCTTTAGGTTCGCCTTCAAAACGACAACTCCATTTGCACGAGTCGCTTTGTGTCGTGGCGCCAAAATACTAGATTTAAGCTTAATACACCAAAACAAGCCAGTTTCTACTATCTAACCGCATCTTAACATCATCTTTAGATCTCATATACATATTATAGTTCATTTGGTTCAAATTGGGTTCAAAGCTTAATGGCGTCTCGCCGTCAAAGCCTTGAAAACATTTTGGGCCGCCATTTTTATTATGAACTGAAAAGACTGACTTGGTGCTCTTTATGTTTACCAATCATGGATATTTGATCATGACTGCGCTTTTAAAGTCATAGGTTGATAAATTAAAACAGCCTTAATAGCTTAAGTAATGCTATTTTTATGAAAAATAGTCCAAATGTACGCTTCTATAAGCTAAACTGCATGTGTTTTTGTCATGACCACAGGGTTACCATAAACTAGTTTCGATCTAACCGGAAATAACTAAAAATCAAAACATATTTCTCTTACACGAAAAAGCTTAGGGCACTAATCATGAACAATGGGCATGTTTTACATCACATTTGAGTAGAGTTTGTTAGGTCTCCCTTGATTTGAGGACTTCACACTAAATACCAGTTTGATCTGTGAGTCGGCAGTGCCCTGACTTAGATCAGCTTGGAGGTTGTTCCAGGGTTTGGTATGTGAGTTAGCAATGCCCTGACTTAGATCAGCCCAGGGGTTGTTTCAGGGTTTGATTTGTGGGTTAGCTGTGCCCTGATTTTGTTCAGCCCAGAGGTTGTTTCAGGGTTTGATTTGTGAGTTAGCCATGCCCTGACTTAGATCAGCCCAGAGGTTGTTTCAGGGTTTGATTTGTGAGTTAGCCATGCCCTGACTTAGATCAGCCTAGAGGTTGTTTCAGGGTTTGATCTGTGAGTTAGCCATGCCCTGACTTAGATCAGCCCAGAGGTTGTTTCAGGGTTTGATTTGTGAGTTAGCCATGCTATGAATTTGATCAGCCCAGAGGTTGTTTCAGGGTTTGATCTGTGACTTAGCCATGTCCTGAATTTGATCAGCCCAGAGGCTGTTTTGGGTTTCAATGAAGTTAAAAGTTTTTTTAGGAAGTCATTACAAGGGGCTCCAGCTTGGAAGGATACTGACATTGTGCATTAATTGGTACATCAAGCAATAAGACATATTAATTTACAGAATTCATTCATAGCAAGAAGTTTTGCCTAAAGATTATATATATATATATATTTCCATTTCAGTATCAGGAAGAATGGATGACTCCTTCTGAGTTTGAAGCGCGTTGTGGTAGGGCATCATCAAAAGACTGGAAGCGTAGCATCCGTTATGGTGGACGGACACTTCAGACCCTAATAGAAGAAGCTGTACTGACTCCTCATGCTACATCATGTACTTGTGCGTCATGCTGCAATGATGACACCTTGGTAAGAATGTCGATGATTTCAATAGTGCGTTTTACAAATGTTACAAATCAACCCATTGTTATTATCGTCATTATCATTTCAATACAAGGACATATTTAATATACCACATATCTAAAACAGCTTTCCTGATTAAGAATGGCAACTTAACTAGAAATTTCAAGAGAATTTGAGAATGAAATTCTTTTGATTCCAGTAGTCTTTTGATAAAAAAAAAGAAAGGCTTTGGAGAAAACACAGAGAAATATATTTAAATATATATATTATGTTTGTGGGAGTCAAAATAAAAACAAACTTACAGTGATATTGTTTATTCACATAAATAACAAACATTAATAGTGTCAGAATTCTGCCAGCAATTTACATAAATCTTTTGTGATTTTCAATGCTCGTGCTTTCAGGTTTGTGCGCACGATTCTTTTGCTCACGCATATGTACAACATTTGAACGCGTAGTTTTTGTTAATATTGTAACATATTTTAGTACCTCTGAGGATGACCGTGCCGGTCAAAAGCTAAGGAAAATATAAACATATTTAAAAGTTGATGAGTCAACTTTAGTTTCATAATATGAATTGAACCTATAAAAACCTTTTCAAATTAATAGATCTGTTAAGTTCATAACTATCATACTATATATACTCATGACTATAAATTTCGTCCTTTTCATAAAATACCCAATAACTGAAGGTTTATTACTCACGATTCAAAACTATCAAACATTTTTTTGTCATTTTAATTTGTGTTTGTATTATATCCCATTAATAGGCTGGACCAGTCAGGCTCTTTGTTCCTTACAAACGCCGTAAGAGAGTATCGTCTCAGTCTGGCCTTGGTTCTCCTGTTTTGAAGAAGAGCATGTCACTGAGCTCAGATCCTTCCAAACAAGAAAGTATGTAGTAATGCTATTTATCATGTATGGTTACCTCGCTATGCACACATTGACTAGTCAAGAACTATGGTGTATGTACCTATTTCAAAAAAGGTTGTCAAAGGCAATAGGCAAAAAGTCATAGGAGACAGGTCATTCAGTAATCTAAGTAGAGCAGTTTTTGTATGACTGCAAAAAGCTCAGTGCCGTAAGCGTGACGTGCTGTGACCGTGATACTTTCTAGAATTTTAATTGGCTGATTCTTTTCATGCACAATATGATTGGTCTAAAAGTGCCGTGATCTTGGCATGACCATGTCCGTGCCATGTTTATGCCATGTTCCGGGTATTTGATTGGATGGAGAGTAAATTCTCGTGCAATATGATTTGTCTGGCGTATCCCTTGCTGTGTCACGACCGTGTTCGTGCTGTGAACTTTTCACGGTCATACGAAAACTGCACTATAGCTGGAATGACTTGTGTTTCTGCTTGTCATTCTCGTCAAGAACATCGACCTTAGTGTTGAGACTGATTCAATGTTCTTTGTATTCAACGAAACCATTTCCATGTCAGAATGACCTATCGGCTTTGGCAATGACAACTATTTTTGAAAGAGGTGTTTTAGTTGAGCTCTGCACACACTTGTGTGTGGTCACTGTGGTGGCTGCCCATGGAAATCACGAGTGGACATGTTAACATTACTTTTAGCTGTATTGTATTGGCATCAGGAGAGAGCTTTTCAAAGAAGTGTAGGAAAATAGCAGCATTGAAAACTACAGTGCATATTTTTTCTCACCACGAAACAAGCACATTTGTTAGACAGTCCTTTCTGTGTTCCATTCAGGTGGGAAGTGCCGAGAACACTAAAGAAGTGTGATAAGCGTTTGCCCATAATAATTATCATCAACATTGGATCTTTTTCACATCTCAAAGCTCACAGCCTACCACAGTTTGTGGTTTTTCTTTTTGTTTAAAGTGCCTAGAGCAGATTAATTGGATAGGCGCTATATAAATATTTATTATTATTATTATTATTATTATTATCTCTTTGTGCTTTTATCAATTCCTTTTATCAACCAGTGTAATATTTTGTTAAAGGAATTTAAGAAACAGGCTGTTCATTGATTAAGTTTTAAAATTGAATTGATTTTTTTTTCAAACACAGGGCATAGCATGATGATGAGATCTGTGAGGTAGGTTTAGCCAAGATTCCCTGCTAGCAGAGTCTTTTCTCTTTCTCTCCCTTCTTTTAGGTGGGGAGGAAGGAGACTCTGCCGATGTAGAGCGTTTCCTTTGATACACCGCCGTCCACGATCGTGGACAAACGAAACCAGTTTTAAAACCGGTTTCTAACCGGGTACATGTAGTGCGCATGAGCAAATGTAACCTCACAGTGATGCCAAACGTTGTTTGATGAAAGTGGCTGTCAAAATCATGACGTTGCTAAGTTACGCCATGAAGGGCACTACAAGTATTATGTCCTACATCGGCAGAGTCTATTTTTCTCACTCCACCAAAACAAAAGGAAAGTAGGCTCTCATAGCAGGGAATAGCCAAGATATTTTGAACAGTTCTTCAGCAACAACAGCAACAACATCTTTATTTAGCACTCTGATACAGTAGTTAGATAAGTAGATAATAATTTGATGAAGAGCACAAACCACTCAGCTAATCGAGCTAAGTAGCTGGGTCAAACAGGAATAAATAAACTAAGATTGCTATATTCCTTAGATAAGCACTCAAAATCATAAATTATGTAGTTTTGTTCCTTGAATGAATTCATCTATTGTAAAATGCCTAGCAATGTATGATTGTGCATCTTTTGTTTCAGTGTTGATTCTGGTGGCGGGACCTATGTAACTGAAGCTGGAACAGTTATTGACAGTGGAGGTTGGTATATTGGTAATATAGGGATATATAATGTTATTTACTGGCCAGTAGGTCTGGATAGGAAAAAGCTGTGCCCAAGCTCTTGAATATAAGGACAGAAGCCGTTATGCCCAGGTCCCTATTCAAGACTAAGAACAAGCGATTTTCATATTGTATTTCATGTAACAACCATATATACAGGAGGACTAAGTGTACTTCATGCGGTTTGCACGCGTGGAATGTTAACATCCCCACGAGCTGTACTGTAAATGCTGCAAGAACTTCCAGTTTTTTTTATTTGAAAAGTCAATGGAATCCTACCTATTATCAAATCAAATGTTTTTTTTTTTAAACCAGATCTTCAGAGTAGCTCAAGTGTTACAAGTGGAGCCACTGGTACTCCAGTCGCTCATCTGCCCATCATAAAAGGTATGCTATCTTAGTGAAAATAATCATTTTATATTATATTAATAGAGCATTAATTATATTCATTTTAATAATATATCATTTTACATGAGGGGTTCTTCACGAGGTTAGCTTTGCCCATGTGATGTACTATAATGAAATTAATATAAGGTTGCAAGTGTAACTGTAGTAAAGGATTCAAAGGTAGTGGTAGTGCACACGCCTCTGGGTTCTTAGGTTTGATTCCTGGACTCAGCATCACATGTGAGTAGAGTTTGTAAGGTCTCAACCTTGTTTCAGGGTTCAATCTGTGAGTTAGCCATGCCCTGACTTAGATCAGCCCAGAGGTTGTTTTAGGGTTCGATCTGTGAGTCAGCCATGCCCTGACTTGTTGTTTCAGGGTTCGTTCTGTGATTTAGCCATGCCCTGACTTAGATCAGCACGGAGGTTGTTTCAGCGTTCAATCATTGAGTTAGCTGTGCCCTGAATTTCGTAGATCAGCCCAGAGGTTGGTTCTGGATTTGGTATGTGAGTTAGCAGTGCCCTGACTCAGATTAACCCAGAGGTTGTTTCAGATTTTTCGACAAAATTTGAAGGTTTTCAAAGTCAAGTTTGCTACATTTGTTAACATATCTATCATATTTCAGACATTGGATCAAGTCTGGTAACAGTAAGTGCTGGTTCCTCAATGCAACCACAAACGCCCCTTACTCCAATGGCACCATTGACACCCATGACGCCCATCATGGTCACATCTGGTTTACACTTTGGAACTGTCAATAGTATGACAACACAGGCAGGACAAATCAATGTGAATCTTTCATCTGACCCTACCTTAGAGCACAAACGACACTGGTGGCATATTGAAGAGGTATGGCTAAGAGCGATTGAGTGATACAATATGGAAAATGAGTGAATAAAAAGATATCAGGCTCTTAACGTGCAATAATTTGTTTATTTCACATCAAGGGTCGATACAATAACAAAATTCAAAGTTTCCAATATACTGTAAAGTGATAATTATTATCACTTTACGATAATTATTATCGTATCACTTTTAAATACTGATATATATATATATTTTTTAAATTTTATTTTGTTTTATTTATTTATTTATTTTATTTTATTTTTTATTTATTTATTTTA